CATTTTTTCATCACTCTGGATAAACAAACAGTCCAAAAAATCCAACACTAGGTACTTTTACCCATCTTTATGACCGAGTTGTACATTCTGTACATTCATATTTTTTTTTGGTAGATTTTTCAACTTTGAAGCTCACGATTTAATTGGCGTATGTTTTAAAAAACAACAGTATAGCTTTAAAGTTTCTACAATTGCATTAATTTTGGTCTACTTAAGTCATATGAGAAACAGATATAGTTCGTTCCTACTTATGCCAAATTTGAATGAAATGTCATTCTTTTGCAACACGTTATTCAAATATTGAACATAAAACGAAAAATAGGAGCAACAATAGAGAGAATCTGTCAGTGTTTTTAAAATTGATAAATAAAACTGAAAAATTAAATATTTTTAATATTTATTCTGTAAATGAAGGTGCAATTTTAAATGAATATCTGATATTCTCAATTGTTGCCTGTGAAAATAAATATCAGTGACAATTTGCCAATAAAACTAACTATTCTTTCCCATGAATAAATATATTTAGTGCCGACGATACTTTATAGACATATAAATGGTTCGAACTATTTCGAACTGTCGAACTGATATATTCAATTTAAAATCGTCTGTTAAAAAGCGTAACCTATAACTCATAACAATGTAACTTTCAGGTGGTATGAGTTTTACAGTCTGTAAGACATAATTGTATTAGACTTAACTGTTATTTCACACTTTTACATATGGTTTCTGTTAAAAAGTACATGTAAACATGTCATAAATGAGACATTTTAGCACCCTTTGAACTGGAAGAAAGCGCATGTGTTATAAAATTGGACAAAAATCGTGTCAAATTATTATTAGTGGGATGAGCAGAGAAAAGCAAAATTTCACAACAAGTTCGGTAGTTTCAGAGATCATCTGTCTCATAAAATAGCTAACAGATGACAGACGACAGACGACGTATATATCACAGGCAACAGACTGATGATAGGCAGACGGAAATGGGACATTTACTTTTTTATACTATAGGGATTACAAAAGATCAAGGTTCCCAGTTTCCTTCTGTCCATCATCATCGTCTGTCGATTTTTATTAGACAGATAATCTTGGAAATTACTGGATTGATTTTATATATACAGGGTGATACTGAAAGGTACGTACAACAAAATTGGCAGTTCTTCGCGAAGTCTAAGAAGTCTGAAAAACTTATTTTGTGTGATCAAAATTATAACGGGAAAATTAACTCTTATCCAACCTTTTTGGACGCTACTGAAGGATAAATAGGCAAAATTAATTTAATTTAGTGAATCCTAGCAACTGTAACAGTAATAAAAAAATGAGAGACCCTTTTTTTCACAAAATCAAATTTTTCAAAGAAGCGGCATTTGTTGGACTGCACTTTAGGAACTCACCTCGTTCTGTGGAAATAATAATAATACCTTTGTTTGTCCAACAAGGTAACCCTAATTACAGGACAAACCAAAAAATATATAATATAATAGAAAACTAAATTAACACTAATATGTATCAAAATAAAAACATAAAAATAAAATTTTAAAATCAATAAGAAGTAGTTCCATGGCCGAGGTAAATGTATCCAAATTATCAACTGAAATATCTGGAGAAATGTAAAGTATACCTAAAATAATATTTAAGGGGCTCATAACACCTGCATAATACAACGTCATTAAGAGATACAAGATTATTGAACTCAGTGTCTAAAGTAGTTATTTTAAATTTATCATTGAATGCTGCTAGAACACCTCTAGACCTACCAACATGCGAAAATTGCAATGCGATCACAACGTGTGATACTATAAGTAAGGAAACAATTCATTATTAAAAGCAGAACAATGAAGCCATGTTTCACTTAACAGAATGACCTCAAAATCAGGAATTATCAATTTTAGAATGAAGGCCTATAACGTTTTGATAGAAAATTGGGAAAGTGGAAAAGTGTGATATCCTTGTATTCTGTGGTTGCTATTTAGTACCAAATATACGAGCCTTAAATTTCAGGAGTTAATTTTGATATACCGGACATTTGTCTTTGTCCCAAGCCGCAGGGTTAACACTCAAATATGGATTTTTTCGAAAAAAGCTATTACATTGTGTACACTTAAAAGAATCGGATTAGCATTCTTTCAGCAAATGAGTACCCACACATTTAGGACAGATAGGAGTCTTCACAGAGCACTGGTTTGACATATGATTGAAACCTGAACATTTGAAACATCGACGAACATCGACTGCATCCCATACTTTGCAATAGTATGTAGTAATTTACCACCCGTAACAAGGTTATTATAAGAAGCTACATCTACTTCAATAACAGCTTGCTTCAGTTTGTCATGACTTCTAAAGACATGATATTTTATTAAAACACAAGTAAGTATATCCGGTACCAAACAGTGACTTATTTCCACACACAAAATAATCAATTACTGCTTCCTCAGGAATCTCTTTATCGATGCCAGAAATTCTTAATCGTGGATCCAAAGTTGGTAACTTTTTTACACTATAGTCAGATCAATTCTGTGAAACCAGATATTTATTTTCTCAGAGTCTGCAGTGTTATTGCAGCTGATGGTAACACTTGCACGTCGACCACCCTTGACAGAGGAAATTTCCGTATTAGACTTTACCGGATCGACGTTGGCTAATTAATCTTTTTTTGTAACAGCTATAGACTGGTTGTTATTCTTGGGTTGAAGAATCATTGATGATTTTTTATTACCGGCAATGCTTGCACAGCAAGTGGCAGTTTTTGGTACATTTCCAGAGAATGACTTACGTTGCGCTTGGTTAAGAATTAAATAAAGGTCAATTTGATTCTTACTCAAAGTTAGACATTTTCAACAGATTTTTCGGAGTACCTATTTGCGAGCTTCCTTTCAAGATAAGACACTCACCACACATAAAACGGAAATTGGCATTTTTACTAGAGATCTTGACATCGGTTTCATCAATTTTTAAACATTTATTGTGAGATCTGGCAATCACAGGAATACGAGTTGACACTTACAACAGAGAAAATATCAAACAACAAATGAAAAATGTACTAAAGAACGAACAATAGACACGGAAATCGAAACATCTTACAAAATAGGACCAAAAAAATGTATCATAGAAACAAATATCTACGAGGGTAAAACAGAAATATTGGCAAAGAAAAACATGCTTAAAAGGAAAGACATTTTCATAGAATCCGAAATGACTACAAGTGAGCGAGAAATACAAAAGGTTATCAGAGATACAGCCAGAGAAGAAAGACGAAGGGGATCCAACGTCAAGATAAAATTTGTGAAATTGGAAGATTATGAAGTGGAAACAGAATGAACAAAAACTGGAAGAACACGATCCCCAGTACATCCAAAAAACTAAGTAAAACGGAGGACAAAGAGGAAACTAAAAATAAGGATAATAAATTCAGGAAACAAACTTGAGGAAACAACAGAGGGATAAAGGACAAAAAAATAAAAAAAAACGAAAAAAGAAATACATAATAAGGATTGGTACGTGGAATGTAAGAACACTACTCAAAGCAGGAAAGATGGAAGAAGCTGCAAGGGAGTTACAGAAATACGACATAGAAATACTGATACTACAAGAGAGCAGGTGGAGCGAGGAAGGGAGTATTGAAAACGAACATTACATATTTTACTACTCAGGAAAAGCAAAACAAGGCAAAAACGGGACAAAATTCATAATTGATAAAGCACCACGGACGAAGATAAAAAAAATGAAAGCAGCAAACTGTAGACTGTCTTATATAACGATCGACAACAAACAAGCGAACATCACAGTGCTTAATGCCTATGCTCCAACAGAAGAAGCAAAGGAAGAAGAAAAAAAACAGAGTTAGTTTTATGGAGTCTTGGAGGAAGCGTGTAGCCCCCCCCACCCCCCCCCAGAAAAATAGTCGCAGATTTTAACGCCAAAATAGGGAAAGAAACAATACACGACAAAAATAACGAAAACGGAGATAACCTATGTAACCTTGCGGTGGCAACTAACACATTTATTGCAAGCACCAAGCACCCACACAGAAGAGAGCATAAAATAACACGGCTGATACCAGGGAAAACAGACGGCAACTAAATAGATTACCTATTAATTTCGAAAAAATGGCTACGAACTATAAACGATGTAAGATCTTACAGAGGAGGCAACATAAACGCAGACCACGCACTCGTCACAGCTAAAGTCAAGTTGAAGATAATAAAAAAACAACAAACCCAGAAGAAAAATAGAAAGTGGAACAAAGAAACACTAAAAGAAAACGAGACAGGAGAAGAGTATATCCAAGCAATACAACAAAAAATATTGGAAACCATAAAACTAGACATCGAAAACGAATGGGAAGAAATAAGAAACAGCATCATGCAAACGGCAGAACAGGTCCTGGGACCAATACCCAAAAAAGAAACAACGCAATGGTTTGACGAAGAGTGTCAAAAGAAAGTTAACAAGAAGACCAACAAAGAAGAACACTGAAACGATTACATAAAAGAAAAAAGAAACAACCAAGCTATGCAAAAATAAAAAAGAAGAATGGATTAACAACTACATGAAAGAAATACAAGACAAAAGTAAAGACAACCGAACTCATAAAAAAACAACTCAACAAACGGCAAATCAACGCAAAAATAGATAAAAAAGACTGGAAAGCGCACTTCAAAAATTTGTACGAAGAAAAAACCCAAGAAGACAAAAAACCTAAAGTAAGTATAGAAGGGGAGGAAAGACATGAATACAAGCCCACTTATGAATAATTCCTGGAAACGGTGCACAAGTTAAAATTACACAAGGCAGCAGGACCAGACGAGATATCCAATGAATTAATAAAAAACGGAGGTAACAAGTTACCACAACGATTATATAACCACATAAGCAGGTTATGGGAACAAGAAAAGATGCCCAAAGAATGGAAGAACGGGCGATTTGAACCATAATACAAAAGGGGGGATCCAACCAGGCTGGAAAATTATAGGGGAAGCATGCTACTAAACATATAAGACATGGACATACCACCCAAACTAGTGAGATTGACTAAAATGACCATGGAACCGTCATTGGCAAGAGTTGCAACACAAGATGGAGACACGGCAGAAATTAATATCAGAAAAGGAGTCAGACAAGGAGATTCCCTCTCCACTACACTGTTTAACATTGCACTAAACGGCGCAGTAGAAGCAACCAGTATAAGAGGAACGATAACAAACAGCTCAAAACAATTAATAGCATATGACAACATCGTGTTGGTGGCAAGAGAAAAAGTCTGGAGGAGAGTCTAAGATTACTCATTGCACAAGCGAAACTAAGAGGACTGATAATCAACGAAGACAAAACAAAGTTTATGAGAAGCAGCAGAAAAAACGCCAGCAAAAAACCTTTCTCCAAATAGACGCATATAAATTCCAAGAAGTGGAAGAGTTTAAATACCTAGGAGTGACAATAACCGGAGGAAACGACAGAAACAAAGAAATCAAAGAACGTATAAGGCAGGGAATAAAGCCTGCTGGAGTACCAACGTATACTGAGAGACAAATATAAAACCAAACAAACGAAACTAAAACTTTACAAAGTGGCAATAAGATCAGTAGCTACCGACGACGCGGAAACCATGTGTTTGACAAAACAAGAGGAAGAAAAATTGAGAATTTTAGAAAGGAAAGTAATTAGAACAATCTCGGCTCCCATAACAACAAACGGGGACCAATACAGAAAACTAACAAATGCCGAAATACTACAGATTCTAGTCAAAGTCACCAAAAAACAAAGACTAAGATGGTTCGGCCACATACTGCGAAGGGACAACAACACAACAATAAAAAGATACTTAAATGGAGACCAACGGAAGATAGACCCAGAAGAAAGCCAAAGTTAAGATGGGAAGACCAAATATACGAAGACATCAGAGACTTTAACATCACAAACTGGAGAAACAGCATAAGAAACAGAGATGAATGGAAACGCACTGCGAACAGAATCTAAGAACATACAGGTACGCACACAGCTGATTACGAAGTTACAGGAAAAGAAGATGCGGACCGATTCACCGCGAAGTAAGAATCACAAGAGTTCCAAAGGGGGCGACTACTATTTTAGTTAACAAAGTGTATAATAGCCAACATATATTGTCAGATCTGTTACCACAAGAAAAGCATTTTTGAGCTTTATCAAAGTTTTTAATATTTACTTCACAGAGTTTACAGGTCGGCATTTTATCGGCAGATAGTCGCTGCGATATAAAAGTATCAAGCAGCGACAAGTACAACCAACCAAAAAAGTAGAAGCAATGTGCAAAGAAATAAAATATGGCACTGCTAAATCACACCATAACCCTTTCAGGTTACTTCATTTGCACTAATTGAAATAACAATAACCACTAAATATTATTTATTTCACGATCACAGTCAACCTAACACTCCTTGGGGCAATTTTTTTCGCTCGGTTAATTTTAGTATTAAAATTTCAATGAACAGCCGAATGTGGAGTATGTGGGATTTCCAATTTTAGAAACTTATCAGTAGCTTATTTTACACAGATCAGTAAATTAAAGGAATGTTGGCATAATTTATTTTGAAAAAAAAGCTGTTATAATTATAAGAACGACAAAAATATGCAGCGAGTGGATTTTTTTAAATGATCAATATGGCGTACACAGAAAGTGCAGTGATATGTACGAGAACCTATTAACCCGAATTTTAATTAATAAGTTGCATTTTGATAAACCCGATTTATAAAATCATTTTGTGTATCAGGTTTTCAGAAGTGATGATACGAAAGTCGGTGTATGCTTAGTGTGTTTGACGGTTACTAACACTCCTATACCTTCGGATCCTCAAAGAAATAACAGAGTGATATGAATGCACCTTTTAGGATTATTTCTCACATAGTGACGTGAAATATCTCGGCTCGCTATTTTGCTTGTTCAAACATCTATCGGATATCTAGGATGCTTCAGAGTCCGTGTTGGATATCTTTTATTCGTCTGATTGCACTGCTCCCAAGCAGCAGCATTTTCAAGAAAGCGTCATATTTCTAAAGTGCTGGCCTCTCGCCCAGAAATCTTTTAAAGCACCATTTGCATTAAAAACGAGACACATTTCGTTTCCTTTGTGAAGAGACCGCCATTGTTGATCTTAAACGGTTATCATGCCTTTGACAGAGAGCTTTTAGAAGCGTACATTGATCTGTTTCTTGCTGTGCAAGTTATAAAAATGTGCCATCATCGAAACATTAATTATTATCACCGGTCTATCTCTGTTCTGCGCGAAAATAAACGTACTCATTTTAAGCAAGTACAAGAGAAAAAAGGAAACAAGAAAAGGGACAGCCGTTTATATTATTTATATAGACTTGTCAAGGGTGGTCTGTAAATCTCTAAGCTTATCAGAAATTTAATCCAAAAACATACGCTGAATACACAATGAACGTGTCACTGCTATGGTTGCGAAAATAAAATTTAGGAATTTGTCGTGTTCCACAAAAAAAAATACTGTAATTATACGTACGATAATGCGTGAGGGAAAAGGCGCTGAAACTCTGGATGTGTAAATTATGTTACCTAATTCGAAAAAGCACAGACACTCAAGCTTAATGAAAAAGAGTTTAAAGCCATTAATTATTTAGGGTGGGACCTAAATCCGACAAAAAGAGATTACATTTCTTGTATGTAACCTAACGCACACATTTGGTTTGTTAACCTACTGCTTCTACGTTTCTAGTTAGTATTTTATAGACTTTAACTGTTTTTATAATAACAATAATATTATAAAATAGTATTCAAAATCTATAACTGAGGAAAATTTGTAAAATAATGCATACTGAATATCCACAAGTTCCTTATGATTACCCATAAACTGTAAATCAATTTTTATAAATAATGGACAATTTTCTTCGTACATTCGCCGCCTACAAATTGTTTCTAATTATACATATTATACGAAAAGTCCTGATTTTAATAAAAAAATTGTTGAATTATATCACTGCGTATGTATATCACATATCAAATATATAATATATAACTAAATGAAGTAGTAATTCTTATATTTAGAAACTACAATTTGAACCTCCCGTAAAAATAAAGGATAGGTATAATGCAAAAGTGTAACAACATTTGTCAGTAATTTTTGAGAAAAACGGGCCATACAAAAACACTACATGATTTTCTTTGTTATTTGAAAACAAAAGACGTCTTTTTTTCAAACAGTGATATGAAATAAAGTTGTTTTAAAAAGTTTTTTGCCTGTTAAAACTTATGTGCTTTTAAAGTTATGAAACATTAATTTAATGAGGTCCGGGATGTACTGCATAAAGTTCGAAAATGGCTTTAAAGCACGACGACTTTTTTCTTTATACACTCTCCAGAAATATATATACATATATTGATAAATATTATCCCACTTATGATATATTTAACAATTATGTACAGGTGTCTCGAAAGTCAATAATTGATAAAAAACTTTTAACTGTGTATACTTACCAATTACAATTAGTCTGTTATTTGTTAGTCAATTGACAATAGATCATTTTTCAAACAACCCAATGAATAATGATCGTTTATCTAACGATATGAACTCTATTACGACTGATACCTTTATAAAAATACAAATTTGGAAACATTGCAGGCTAGTAAAAGTTGTGAGACTTGAATGCACAGGTTTTTTGGTCAAGTCAGGTCAAGTCACGTCAAGTTTACGCTTCAGTAGCAATAGTAACTAACTATTGGTGATTATCCTGTTTGACCTTTATTAATGTGTGTAATGTCTCGTTTTTATAATTGATAAACTTAACTGTGTCTAATGTTGTAATAATAAATGCTTCTTAGTTTGAAGTTAATCGGGTATGTGGGTCCTTAATTGGCAACAGTAATCGTGTATATTAAGATAAACGGAAGAGATATGTATGTCTAAATAGAATTTAATTTTCGTACTATCTTAGGATGAAATTTAGTGGAAACCGTTGTATTAAATTTCTTTTTGGCAGTACACAAGTAAAGTCGCATTACAATATGGGCAGTAGTTATGGATGTTACTGCGCAAAATCACCTTTTTTAAATAATTTTTGCTTTGCTCTGTACATTTAAAAGATACGAAACTTTAACAAAGAAGATTTTTTAGAACGAGACTAATAAATGTTCATTTCATTTCAAACCTTCCACAGTACACACGTTTTAATAAATTAATAGGCGATGTCTACGTAATTTTATTTACTAATACAATAATATATTCAATTCACACACCTATCGACTTTTTAAACACCGTAACAAGAGAATACAAGTCAACTTAATGAAATTATGAGGTGTATTTGTGACAACAAAATTACTAAATGGATCACTCTTGTATGAACAAACCGTGAACTACAATCGACTTTGCGAGTGGCATTATTAAAAAAATCGCCTTTTGACATACGCTTCAAACTAAGTAATTAACGTGTTGTTTTTTGTATAAATTGACATTTTATTAATTGAAAACATGACAGAGTAAATGGAGACAAATTTCGCGTGGGACAAAAAGCCTGTTTTTCTACTGTGAACTTAGATTTAATTAATGTTACTAAAAAAGGTGTAGTGGACATCTATTACAGGGTCCTGTCAATGGATAGATAACGGTATTCGTTGGAAAAAAATCGTAGTCAATTTAATGATACACGAAAACGATTTTTAGTATATAAAACACAAAGAATATAGTTCATTGTGATACAATTTTTTCCATACAAAGTAGATACTTTACTATTTATAGTGTTTTCAAAATGTAGTAAGTAAATCACAAAATTAATTTTCTGGAGTCGAGAAAAGAGTTCGCAAAGATGTATAGGCAAAAACCCGGATGGAAGAGAAGATGAAATGGCTGTGAAAAAGAAATATGTAACTATGTTATAATTTTAAGTAGAGGCTGTATATGCAGAAGCATAAAGATGTACACTACAAGACAAAGGATTGTAAATGGAAAGCAGTGCGTTGATTAAAATTCCAAGATTTGCTTTATGATGTCTTTAGAGTTGACCTAATTGTGAATGAATGAGCTGTATATATATAAAGTTTGTTAGTACTGTGCTTTGAGCGTTTTGTTCCAATACTGGGTGAATTTCCTACATTGCTTTTGTTTGTGGTTTTTAGTTTAATGAACAATACCGATCATGAACATTAAACATGTTATATCAGGCACATGATGATGTTATTAAAATATTTGTTGAAATTTGTGTAACAATGATTCACAATTAGTGCGGCGTTTTGCCGCTGATACCTCTAATTAGTTGTGTATCAACGGCAAAATTCGTTTGCTGCTGAACTCATTTAAAGTTTAAATTTAGTATTTTTAATGTCACAAATTGAACATCTCAAGAATAACTACTGTAGATTTTGTTTTTAATATGTTCGTAAATCAGTATCAATTAATTGAAAACACATCAGGGATTCGTACATAAGTGGTGAAATTTACTGAAACGACTAAATTTTTCCAGGTGGGAGAAACAGGTTCGATATATTGCAGTGAATTCTGGTTGCAAATAATCTACTAATTAGTACAAAAATTATAGTTTTGATTTGCATGTTTAATAAATTTTAGATATGGGTGCCTAACACCCCTGAAATATTTTGATAGTGGTAAAAATGAACTAACACTTTCTCGTAATCGTATTCCAAATAAAAATTTCACAAATAATTATCACAATGAAACACACGCGAGGTCAAGGCCGTACGTGGTTGGTGAACATTTCACAAGGAGGGGACTACGTACAGGTAAGCGTCTAAACATGCATAATGAAACAACTGAAGCTGAAAAATTCATGAAACCGCAGAACGAATATCTGTGTGTACTTCGAAGTTATTTGATTTATTACCTGTGCTTTACGTCTTCACCGGATAGATAACATTTTTTAAGG